ACCTTTTACCAAAGATTCGCAACGCGAAAAACAGAACAATTACACTATGTAGTGTAGGCTACAAAATATATGCTCGGTACATATTAAAAGCCTTGGACGAACTAGTGGAACCCATCCCGTACTATCAGGCAGGATTTATAGCGAACAGGTCCACGCATGACCACATATTCAGCGCCAGACAAATAATGGGAGAAACATGGCGTAAAGGGAAAAAGATATATATTGTAACCTATAACATAGAAAAAACTTTCGTCAAAATTAAACACAAAGCAATTATAGAAGCCTTAAACGCAGTGAACACCCCACAATGGCTTATAGAACGAATTGAATCGGCCTGCCTGAAAGAATACACGTGCGTCAAATGGTTTGGTCAGACCACAAAACTATTCCGTAAAATAAGGCTGCCCCCTGCCACCGCGACTATTCACACTTGAAACTCCGGAAGCTGATATACACAACCGTGATCTCCCCCTCTGTGACATACGCACTGAACACATGCGTACTGACCAAAGCAAACCGACAAAACCTTCGAAAATTCAAACGCAAAATACTCACCTTGTTTATGACAGACCTAACAGAACCAATCACCCAGAGTCCTTCTAGAAGGTAAAACAATCACCAAACGTGTCAGGGTGGCACAACTAAAATACTGGGCACATGCCAAGCGTAGACGCCGAAACCACATACTACAAGCCACCTTAAATCTAGACCTCATCGAAAAAAAAGTCGGTAGACCTTGCTACACATTCCACGACACCCTGGCACAGACAATCCAATTAACATAAACCGATCTCTCCCGCTGGAAACAAATCAGCACCCACAAAAACCTTATGCGGGAAGCGACGGAAAAACTGCACCAACTTCCGGAATCCGACCCGGAGAGCGACACCGACACTCACGAACCGGAAGTAAACCAACAAAGATAGGTGTAAGCCAAGAACTAACCTACCTACTTCCATTCATGAATCCCAATTGAATGGGGTTATTACTAAAACCCAGGTTGAGGAGGATTCCGGATTGTACTTAGTTTTGGGTCAGTTTAATGTCCTCCAAAAACCATCACTAGCCCTCCTTATCCCGCACTCCTCTAGACTAAATTGGACGTATGGCCCGACCCGGCGACAATAATCCGGGAGTGGCCTTAACCATCGAGATTGTCATCCACGACCTCCTGGGAGGGTTCTACCAGCCGGCGTAAAAATTCAGATCCAGCAAACACAGATAATGCTGTGCAGTTGCGGGATACGAAGGAGAACGGAAAGGGGGTAGAAAAAAATCCCAGGCAGATCAGTATAAGGTGATAACGATGGGGCCGCCCATACGTTCCCATACTCATACTTAAATTGTTATTTTTGTTTGTCACCCAATTATGGATAGAACAAGTATGATAGATCGGGAATTTAATATATACTCTTAATTTGTCCACTGAAGATGCACAGAGGGTGCAGGAAGGAATTATCCATAATTAAACGCAAATTTAAACATAGAAAACCACGAAATTTAAACCAATAAGGATATGACACAGGACATAATGATATCAGAGATACATAGGTTATGTTGCCTCTTATTTACGTATGCGCCGTCAGATTTTAATTAAGTGTGTTGTTCTTTTTAATACATTAACTGAAGTGAGCTGAGATCTCAGGCGAAAAGAACACACCTAATATATATAATATTATTATCATTTGTTATTATTAATGACATTGTTTACTCTGTTCTTAATGTTTAAACGTGCAGCCTGGCCACTCCAAGTTTCTATAAACACAGTCAGTAAGATAGCGGGCATGGTCGCGGCTGGAGAACCGTTGGTAGGGCCAACAAAAACGAAACGGTGCCAAACGATAACCAACATCACCGATAGCCAAGCTGTCGAGATCATAAATGTTATTTATGACATGCATGCTAACAGTGAGTTATTCTCCTTGTGTTATACCAATGGATTTCTACGAGTCTTTTTTAGAGCAGCACATTACACTGCGGACATTGCTGGCCCGCTTAAATCATTGCTTGGTCATTGCATAAGCCCAATTTTGCGTCTCAAGCAGCACTGTTTTAAAAAACCAATTCAATCACTGTTCGTTGTAATTAAAAAGTCACAGCGGTCTTATAAGGCGCCATGCAAGAATCTTTGTTTTGGTGTGGAAGTTTTTGTTGATAAAGTAAATTTTTAATTCTTGCAGCCATCTACCAGACTAAGTAGGCATCGTTTTATGCTTTAACTTTTCCAAAATAGATGGCGTAATCGAAAATTTGTCATTAACGGGATTACCCGCATGTACGCCAATACCCGCCGCTCCCCTACACTTCTGGTAATTTAAAGAAAGACATATCTATCTATTTAGTCATCTATCTCTATCTTTCTAATGTGGTTTCAAATTACACTACTAAATGATTAATTATACAAGTAGCCAGTGTTTGGGCCCATTTTTGCGAGCCCAAAATTGATCTCAGTCACTGACCAAGCCCGCGTCGCTTCGCTCGGCCTTTATTAAAATAATTACGTTTATAAGTAGCCTAGGTGGGCTTGGCTAGTGCCTAAACTCAATTTTCCACGCGCAAAAGTGGTTTCAGGCACTGACCAAGCCCACCTTGGTTGGTGATCAATGATTAAGTTTACAAGTAGTCTAGGCGGACTTGGTCAGTGTCTGAGCCAATTTATGGGAGCCCAAAAATGTGCTCATGCACTGAATTAATTTTTAGCTACACATTTGTAAATTCCTTTTGAGGAAATAAAAACATGTACACTTCTGGTAATTTAAAGAAAGGCATATCTATCTATTTAGGTATCTATCTCTCTCTTTCTAATGAGGTTTAAAATTACACTATCCTTATGCGATATATTACACCAACATTCAGCTACTTAAGGCTTCGCTTCCGTGGTTTTAAGGAAAAATAATAGGTCATACCAACATACACAAACCCAATTTCTATTCATCGATAGATCTCTATAACTATATATTTCTATCTCTCCGGATCGACGGTCGATCCGTTAAAAATAAGGAAACAAAAATTAAAAAAAAAAATACAAAAAAAGTATCAAAAGTCCTCTAGGTAAAGCACTTTGGTCTGCGTTTTCTGTCAGTCAGGGGCCGATAAATTTCGTGATGCTAAATATGGTCAAAATTCACTTGTGACGATATGAAAGACCCCCCCACCCCGAAGAGTCATGTGATAAATTTTCGAACCCCACTCCTCTTTTTTGTTTGATTATTTTTTGTACTATAACAATCTTACTAAAAATAAAAAAACAATTTAATTCGATTTATTTGTCACATGACGTTTTATGTGCGTGACAAATTGTGACGGTCCTATAAAACGCCCCTCCCCTTCTAGTCACGCAAGTTTTATGGACGCCCCCTCATGGAAAGAAAAGAGATAGAAGGTTATGTAAATAAATACATATTAAAAATGTATTAAGTATAGTTATCATTAATTAAGTATATACATAGTTTTATAGGATAGATAGATAGAACTTTGCGTATGTCATGCAATCTGGGTTGCATATCAAATTTCCCTAAACAAGGTACAAAAATTAAATCCGGCAACATTGCTTTAAATTTGTGATTTCATGTCAAAAAATTGGTTAAAAATAATTTTAAACTTAATTTATTCAAAAACTACTGAAAAACCCGCATTTTTTATTTTTGATAATTTTTTAATTTTTAATATTTAAAACACCCTTTTTCTAATAGTTTCAATAAAAATTAGATTTTCTTGAGCGACCCGAATCAAAGATGCTCACGCTGCCTTTCCCTTCCCATCTTTTTTTCATCCTCATTATGGTACTCTTATCAACCTTGAAAGGATTAAACAGTTTAATTTAAACTATTCTGGCGTTCATTTAATTTTGCCATATGACATCATAAACCGATGTATGACACTGACAAATAAATAAACATCGAAAAATTTAAAAAAGACACATTTACACAGCATATTATTTGTAAGAACCAGGTTAATTTAAGCCTGAATTATAGATTGCCTTCCTTCCTTCCTTCCTTCCTTCCTCCCGTAGAAGATGAACAATACGAAACCCAATAAACATTTTTGACGTAATTGTCACCATTAACATTTCCCGTGTAAGAATTTTTAATACTTTGTGATAATATTTTGCAATTATAGTAATAAAAAAAATCAAAGTATAAAATATTTTCTTAACAAAATCATATTTTGAAGTTTTTTTATTATATTAGAGTATCAATAATTGTTAAGTTTAATTAAAATTAATAACGGGCAATTTTAATGGTGACAATTACGTAAAAAATGTTTATTTAAATCGTAGTGCCATTTATAGATTCCCGTACCGTAAGGACGGCATTCCTTCCTACCATGGAAATTTTTAAGTTTTATCTTTCACCGTAAAGGTCTTTGACATGACCAATCACAGTGCTTGTTATGGACATGCGCTGTAGGGTGACAGCGCGTAGGCACAAAATATTTAAAATACATAATTGTTTAGTATTATTTAAGATAGGTGTTCAGTTTATTAAATAATTTGTGACTCTAAATAGGATATTTAGATATTGTTTATGATCAATGTCTTTTATTTTAGAAACGTTGCCTTGTAAAACCCCCTACTTTCCCTACTTCTTGGTAAAGTGGGCGAGTCTTCCAACGTCTTAATATATAAATGTTTATCTTTCATATTTACACACAATGGGTAAAACGCAGAATATAAACAAAAACAAATGACAAACATTTTAGTGTCATCGCGCATGGTTACGGAATTTTACACGGAAATCTATAAATTGACTTTTTACAAGACGCACAAATCGTACGGGCACGACTACGGGAGGAAGAAAGGAAGGCAATCTATAATTCAGGCTTAAAGCGATTTTGTTGCATCTCTTTTTTTAAGGAAATATGTAATTTTTAATAATATTTCCCAAATGAATTTAGACCCCAAAATAAAAAACTATTCATTAGTTTTTTCCCTTTACCATTAAAAAATAAATGCCTATGCCTCCCACGGTGTAAAAATGTTGTATGATAAAAATGCTTACTCTTGTAGAATCCTCTTCTCTCCTGGTGTGATCAGCAATAAATCTGACGCCGTCTATTGCCTTATGAACCTCCGGGCAGTGGTGCCAGGGATGTTCTTCCAAGAATAGCGCATCCTCTAGAGAGGATATTCCCAGGTCGTGACCAACATCATGTCCTAGATCTTCGGCAAGGTGCTGAATTAAACCTGGTGGCGGTGTTGTACCATGGATCCTGCAGGCGCTTATGGCACCTGCCTCTAATTCCCTAAAATTATTATAGTTGCATTGTCGTTAATACAGTTATTATACAATTTACCTTGGGGTTAACTCGTCCCTGGAGCTCGCACTGGGGAATAACCCCGAAGGATCTTCTGGAATATTTCCAGAATCAGAGTATATTCCGGGATCTCTAAGTTCAAGACCGTTGCAGGTACGAACCATTATACGATGACTTGAACTCATACTAGTTAAAAAAGTTATATTAAAATAGGTAATTTTAATAGAAATATTAACTCTCTACCTTTTTCTATCCAGCTGGTAATGAGGCCTCCGCATAACCAGCAATCTTGGAAGTATGTGGATAAAAACTCGTCTAACCCACGGAGCCATAACGTGAGTTTGAGGCGAACGAAAGTGTACATTAAGAACCACAACAGTTACACATATACTAAAAATTAAAAAAAAATAATAATAAACAGAGACCCAAATTTAAACTATTTTTTTGTGTAACCAGGTAAATGGATCATTGTTTTATAATGAAGAATTCGGTGGCAACTAGTATTACTTCATTATTCTATGGGCTCTTTCCATTTAAAAACGACCGGTACTCGCAGGTCATGATTTTCTTTTTGTATGAAACTTAAATATGTTGTATTTTTTTACCAAATATAAATAAACTGGAAATTAAAATATCACCTTGAATATATTAAACCAAAATTTTTGTCCTGTAGATTTTTGAAACGAGAAAGTAAACATACGTTTGGAATAAAAAAAAAATTAATGGGGTTAACATTTGATTACTATAATAATAGTTATATCTATAAATGCCCAATAAACGATTCCAAACCGTCAGTCTTTAAGAGACAGTGTTCGTGAACACAAACCCAAAAAATAAAAATACTTTAAATAAAATTCTTGAAAAACTTGTAGAAAGAGATTCTTAAGCAAATGGACAACAAAATATAAAAAAGATAGCCAAAAGTTTATATTGTAAAAGTTTATTAGCAAAAATAATAATGCAAATCAACGGATTAAAATTTTTAAAAAGGAATGTGTTCGCATTAATATAAAATCTGATGAAAATAAAATTAAAATATTACGACTTTTCTTGGATAAATCCTGCATAGACTGGTATAGTTTAATGATCACAAAATTAACATTGGACTCAAAATTGTCAATCTAAATATAAAGAGGGTTTATTGCTAGATTATGCAATAAAAAAAGAAAGACTTTTACTTGACATGGGAAAATCTATTGACACAGGTAAAAATATTGGTAGAATATCAGTGACAAGTGTTTCCCTTATGTATTAAGAGCGGTAAGTACTTCTAATTGTAAATATTAATTTAATGAATTTAGTTTAAGCCTGCTATTTTAATGCGTACTTTTTTAATAAATAACGCCGGTCCCTAATGGTATATTAATTGTTTTTAATTTTATCCCTGACTAAACATTTTAGATTTGTACAATGACATATACAATATATAACCCCAAATTTTCGTAAATTTATCTAATGAAAATTTTAAAACTGATAGACAAAATTAAAAAAACCTATTTGTACAAGGTTAGGAAAAGGCATAAGATACCATCCTGAAGTTTAAAAATAAAAATAATGATCCTAAACATGTTAATAATTCAGAAATTAAAGTGAAATTAAATGGAGATAAATAAAAAACGATTAAGTACACCATTAATTATAGTCAAACTATTATTAAAGTAGATGGTATTTATGATTCTGGTTCAAATATTTCTGTAATTAATTCAAAATTATTAAAAATAAATGAAAAATAATTGAATACATATAATTTAATAACAATTAATGGTGTCAGTAAAACAATTGGTTTGACTACTTTGAAAATTAAAATATTTGAGATAGAAGATGATGTTGATGGAAAAAATTTAAATATTATTTTTTAATTGGATTGGATATGATAAGATATTTCAGTTAATCCAAAATAAAAATCTAGATAACTCAGAAACAGAAAATTTAGAGAGTGGTTCAGATAATAATAATGATAAAAAATTCTTTTTTTAAATTAGTCATTTAGATAACTACCAAAAATTTGAGGTAGAAAAATTAATTTAAAAAAATAAATCAGTATTTGTAAGAAATAAATATGATGTAGGTACTGTAAACGAATATAAAGCAAGGATAGATTTGTTGGTGGACAAAAATTGTAATAAGAGATATTACAGGTGCACTATAGAAGATAGAAATGAAATATAAAATCAAGTATCAACATTATTGGAGAATAAATTAATAGAAGAATCATATGGTCCTTTTGCTACATCGGTCACATTTAGGGTTGCCAGACGTCTTGATTTAGGCGGGATTGTCCCGATTTTTGGAACAATGTCCCGCGTCCCGCGTAGGCAATAAAATGTCCCGATTTCGATTTTTCCATATAATAATTTTAATGTTGCTCCGGTCTCTTATTAAAATTGACTTCGATACCTTGTTTCAGTAAAGCGGCAAGAACAAACCATTTTTGAAAACGCCGTCTTAAAATAGTCAAGTAATTTTTAGCAGCGCCACGTAGCGATCGATAGTGTTTCTTTGATAGTGGAGAGGTAAGACAGTAAAACATACAGATTTCTACTTATCAGAAAATGTCAGATTCGTCTGCAGACCGCGCCGTCACTACATTTTATTTCGGGAATTCCCAAACTGTTTCTTATTGAGTGAGATTTTTGAACCAAATAAAACAATAATATACCTAATTTCTTGACAATATTCAAAAGGACGTTTTCATTAAACGAAATACAATACTTAATAGGGTGTCCGTTATTTACCAAGTTGATTTTTTTTCTTGCGACGCCCCCTAAATTTTTAGTCTATCGTCTAAAAAAAAATTTCAGACAAAAATAAACTCTTAATATTCATAATAAACCTTGCCCCAAAGACGATACATTTCCCATTCAAATTACATGGGATTTTGACACTTTTTTCAATTAATTCTTTTTTCCCCAGGCAAGATGACTTACAGCAATGAGACATATATATTCTTATAGTAAATTGAACGCTCTACAAGAAAGGTTTCTTATAATTTTTCGATTAAATCACTCGTTAAAAAGTTATTCGAGGTGAAAGTTAAACTCTGTGTAAATTTTCAGATTTTTTTTTCTTTTACGGCAAACTTATTATTATTTCGATGAAAGTTATTAGTTTATTTCTGAAAATAGATAATTCTGGTGGTACTAGGGTACGGTAGGTATACAATTTTTATTTACAATATTTATATGAAAAATCCGTCGAGTTCTTTGATCATTTTAAAAACGTCACCGTGAGCAATGTCAAATAATTGTTCGAGTTTATTTGACAAATCTTTTGTTTTATTTTTTTGGTTAAGATGGTTTTGTACATTTCTGTATTCTGCGTAGAGACTTTTTAATTTTGTTATGCAACGTAAATTAATTTGAGTTGGAACTACTGCTTCACTGCAAATTCCTGCCACTTTACGTACAACGATTGAACAGCTGTCATCAATAGATTTATTGCGATTTCTTGAGTGGTGGTACAGTAGTTGCAGAACTTCTTTATTTGTTGGTAACTTTTTGCCAGTAAATGAAAAATATATTTTGTCTTAGATCCTAGTTCGATTTTATCCTTCATCGGTAGTACATCGCTCCATGAAAAAGTCTGAAAATAGTTGACTTTGACCCAGGAAGGATAAAATGGGGTTCCCGGTATAGAAATATACCGTATTTCTCGACAATATCGCAAGCTTTGTCATTTCAGCGAGGAATTTTGTGATTTGTGCAATCGATTTAGTGAATGTTTCAAGATTTGAAATTCCACATGTCCGTGAGTGGATGGCTTCGTGAAACTCAAGGACGTTAAAAACTTGTTGCTGGTCAACATTTGCTGTACATTGATTCCAAGACCATTAAGGCGTTGAGCCACCAAGAAAGAAGAAGAAGTCTTAGATCCATTGAACCTAAATTTTTTATAGGTTAGAACTATTTGTGAAATTTTAATTCTAATGAGATTTTCAATATAAATTTAATTTTAAAGTTTTTATTTACCTATATGTTAAAAATTACACTAATTCTAAATTTTGTTTTTTGTTATGTTACCGGCAATGTAAAAAATCCGGCAATGTTTTATTATTTTATTATATAAATAACTACTGTTAATGTACGACACAACAATATGCAGAGATATTTGTATACAATACTAAAAGGACTTAAAGCGCCGTCAAGGTACTAAATGCGCTTTAGCGCGCTTGCGTCAATAAAAATTCCGTGTGTTGGCGGGAATGCTTGTAAGAGTAATTTTGAGTCACTTACTGTATTGAAGGAAAATTTCATAAAAGTATAAAAAACTTGAAATTCAATAAAAATTAGTTGACTGTGTGTTATAAATAAAGTCTCAAAAATGATTAAAACTAGAACCATGGTTCGGCAGCTACCTACATGTTATGCAGTCTATTATTTTTCAGGTTTAAAAATTGTATACCCTAATACCACCAGAATTAGAGTTTAACTTTCACCTCGAATAACTTTTTAACGAGTGATTTAATCGAAAAATTATAGGAGACCGTTTTTGTAGAGCGTTCAATTTACTATAAGAATATATATGTCTTATTGCTGTAAGTCATCTTGCCTGGGAAAAAAATAATTAATTGAAAAAAGTGTCAAAATCCCATGTAATTTGAATGGGAAATGTATCGTCTTTGGGGCAAGGTTTATTATGAATATTAAGAGTTTATTTTGGTCTGAAAATTTTTTTTAGACGATAGACTAAAAATTTAGGGGGCGTCGCAAGAAAAAAAATCAACTTGGTAAATAACGGACACCCTAATACTTAAGGTAAGTATTTCTTTGATTGACTTTTGTAAATGTGTCTTTATATAGTCGGCTGATCAGTTCGAGTTTAACTGGATTAATTACGATGACAATATATTTTATTAATATTAGAATTGGTCACGCCGTTTATTATACCGATATTTTATCACCTGGTTTACTAATATGTGTTATGCCGTAATTGGTTAACTAACGATATTTAAAATGGATTGTGTCTTTTGTGGGTGAGATTAAAATAATGAACTTTATAAAAGATGTAGACTACAACTTGTGTAAGTAATAAAGTTATTTAACTTGGTGTAAGTAATCAACATTAAAATTCTGGCCAATTTTTGGTGGCCGGTTTTTTTTGCCGGTAAGTGATATACTTAGGCATTTTTTATTTTAAATCACAAAATTTATATTTTACACATAAAACTGCCAATTGAATATTTTCCATGAGGATGAATTACTTTACTCGCCTCCGGCTCGTGTCGCAATATTTCATCCTTATGGAAATGGCCCACTTTCTTTATCGTTGAATAATGTACTTATATCCTAAAATTCATTATAATTATCTCACTAAACACGGGTTTTCAGTTTTT